GACCCAGCAGGCGTCCTCCTCCGAGAGAAGGGACTGGGAGGGGAGGGGCGAGGGAGGAGGAGGAGGAGGGGGAGGAGGAGGAGGAGGAGGAGGAGGGGCGAGGAGGAGGGGAGCGAGGAGCGGAGGCGGAGGCGGAGGCGGAGGCGGAGGCGGAGGCGGAGGCGGAGGCGGAGGCGGCGGCGGTGGCGTCGCCGGAGGGGGAGGCGGAGGCGGAGGAGGAGTGAGGAGGAGCGAGGAGGAGGAGGAGGAGGAGGAGGAGCAGGCAGAGGAGGAGGAGGAGGAGTAAGGAGGAGGAGGAGGAGGAAGAGGAGGAGGAGGAGAGGAGGAGGAAGGAGGAGGGAAGGTGTAGGAAGAGGAGGAGGAGGAGGAGGAGGAGGAGGAGGAGGAGGAGGAGGAGGAGGAGGAGGGAGGAGGAGGAGAGGAGGAGGAGGAGGCGGGGAGGGGGAAGGGGCAGGGGGAGGAGGAGGAGGAGGGGAGGAGGAGGAGGAGAGAGAGGAGGAGGAGGAGGAGGAGGAGGAGGAGAGGAGGGAGGAGGAGGAGGAGGAGGAGGAGGAGGAGGAGGAGGAGGAGGACAGGGGAGGAGAGGGGAGGAGGAGGAGGAGGAGGAAAGGAGGAGGGAGAGGAGGAGGAGAGGAGGAGGAGGAGGAGGGAGGGAGGGGAGGAGTGAGAAGGAGGAGGGAGGAGGGCGGGGAGGAGGGGAGGAGGAGGAGGAGGAGGAGGAGGAGGAGGAGGAGAGGAGGAGGAGGTAGGAGGAGGAGAGGAGGAGGAGGAGGAGGAGGAGGAGGAGGAGGAGGAGGAGGAGGAGGAGGAGGAGAGGAGGAGGAGGAGGAGGAGAGGAGGAGGAGGAGGAGGGAGGAGGGAGGAAGAAGGAGGAGAGGAGGAGGAGAGGAGGAGGAGGAGGAGAGGCAGGAGGAGGAGGAGCGGAGGAGGAGGAGGAGGAGGCGGCGGAGGAGGAGCGCGGAGGAGGAGGAGGAGGAGGAGGAGGAGCGGAGGAGAGGAGGAGGAGGAGGAGGAGGTAGGGAGGAGGAGGAGGAGGAGGGAGGGGTAGGAGGAGGAGGAGGAGGAGGAGGAGGAGTTGGAGGACGGGAGGGGATCGATGACTGCAGGAAGGTGGCCCCCAAGGGGGCCCCCCGCGCGGGTTGGGTGCCTCCGGCGCCCAGGGGCGCCAGGAAAACCAGCTGCGCGAGAGCCGATTTGCCCCGCCCCTCCCCCCCCTCTCCTTCCCTGTCCCCGTTTCGTCTGACCCTAGACGGAGGAGGGAGCGAGGAGGAGGAGGAGGAGGAGGAGGAGGAGGAGGAGGAGGAGGAGGCGGATGATGATGAGGAGGAGGAGGGGAACCAGTGTAAGCCCGTGTAAGCCCAAGAGCCATCAAAGAAGCTGGAATTCTTCACGCTTCGCGCATCCCCACCAGCCCATTCCAGAACAGCAACTTGTGCGAAACATGCCGGCAGTCGTGGCTTTCGGGCGCACCTCCTCCTGCCCACGCATATATCCTTCTACTTCTCTGGGTCTTTCGCTCTGGGAGCCTCTTGGAGGCATCTTGGGGGTATCCCGGGACCTTCTTGGGGATATTTTGGAGGTCTCTGGGCCCTTTTGGGGTTCCCGTGGTGCCTCTCAGGGCTCCTTTGGGGCTCCCTTGGGGCTCTCTTGGGGCGCTGTTGGGGCCCTCTTGGGGCTCTTTTGGGGGGTCTGGGAGGTCTCTTGGGGCCATCTTGGAGGCGATCGATCAAAACAGGGACGAGCACTTTTCTCTGTCCCCCCGTCGGGTCCTGAAACCCTATGAAATTACATTATGCGGCGCCTTTTCGGCTGCTCATCTTGGACGCCCTGACGACCCGCGGAACGGCCTCTCCAGGTCCAAGGAGGGGGTAGGGGGAGGGATCAAGACCCCCTCCCCGCCCGCAAGCCGTCTCGCTCACTCCCACCCGCCCTCCCAACACATACGTAGCACCCGAGTCTGGCCCGAGCCTCAGCATATTCAGCAGTCGTCTTTGGATGGGTAGCTACTGGGGGCCAATCCGCCGCCGCCGCCGCCGCCGCCGCCGCCCGCCGCCGCCGCCGCCGCCGCCGCCGCCGCCGCCGCCCCCCGCTGCCAAACCGCCGCCGCCGCCGCAGCCCGCCGCCGCCGCCGCCCCCGCCGCCGCCGCCGCCGCCGCCGCCGCAGCCGCCGCCACCGCCGCCGCAGCCTCCGCAGTCGCCGCCGCCAAGTGTACTCTGTATTGTTTTTTGAGAGGGATGGTGGGGGGGGGCCGCATCGGGTTGGCTGCGCATGTTCCGAATTTGGAGGCAGAGTGTGTTTTGTATTGTTTTTCTACAAGGGATGGTGTGGGGGGGTGCTGTCATGGACTCGGGTTGGCCCCCAGTCGCCTGGGGGAGGGGGTGTTTATTAATGGGGAACAGTGATAAACCCTTCCCCGAAGGGGAAGGAAGGGGCCCTAAATCACTCACGCCCAGAGGGCTGGTGGGATTAAAGCTGCCCTCCAAGTTCCCTCTTCATAGGCTCCTACAACTAACTGTTCATCACCACTGAATGAACTGCCTCGTCGGAAGATAACCGTTTGAAGATCCTGAACATGCCAAAACATTGTTGTCGGGATCCCAACGCCACGGATCAATCTGACTGTTGCGTCTTGACGAGCCTGAATCGTGCCAGAACGCCATTCCCAGGACGTCAGCACCGCGAGCCAAGGTAACTGTTGCATTTGCACATTCTGGAATCTTTCCAACACACCATGCCTGGTACGTTGATCAGGGGAGTCCGTGAAACTCTGGCAAATTTAAAGAACGAGTGTGCGCGGCGCTAAGGCAAGAGCCACATTTTGAACAGGAGCCGCCCTCAATCCATGAAGCTCTTGCAAAGTTGTAAAAATAATGCGCGCGGCGCTTAGGCAAGAACCACATGTGAGAACCACCCGCTTTCAATCCGTAATTTTATTGCAGAATGTTTTAACCGAATGTGCGCGGCGCGAAGGCGAGAGCCACATTTTGAAAAGGAACCACCCTCAATCCGTGAAACTTTTGCAATAATCACTAAGACGAGAGCCATATTTTGAAAACCAGTCCCCGCCAATCTGGGAAATTCTGGCGATTGTTAAAAAACATGTGCGCGGCGCTGAGGCGAAAACCACATTTTGAAAACCTCCCGCCCTCCGTATGTGAGACTGTTGCCAGACTTTAAGCTTCAGGGTCATAAATGGTGAGGGAGTACCAGGCGAAACGCCTGGTCCGCCCCAAAAACTGGCTTCGGGGTGCGACAGGGAGAAGTTAGTTCGAAGGAAAAGGAATGGAGGAGGAGGAGGAGGAGGAGCAGGAGGAGGAGGAGGAGGAGGAGGAGGAGGAGGAGGAGGAGGAGGAGAAGGAGGAGGAGGAGGAGGAGGAGAAGGAGGAGGGAGGAGGGTCGATGATGGGAAGCGTGAGACTCGAGTTTGCCGGAACTCTTGCTTCCAGCCGCGTTTAACCGGTATTGGCGCCTGTTCTGACGGACCAGTCTTCGTGAGACGTATGCGGCGGGAGCTCGCGTTAAGTTTTGCGCTTGGTCCTGCTATGTTTTTTCCGCCGTCATGCGCATTTCGAGTCCGCCAAATTCGAGATTTATATAATACGTCTCTCCGATTATGATAGCTACGCGGGGTATCTGGAGAGGGCAGAGGGAGCTGGGAGCAGGAGGAAAGGAGGAAGCGGAGGAGTAGGAGGAGAGGAGGAGGAGGAGGAGGAGGAGGAGGAGGAGGAGGAGGAGGAGGAGGAGGAGGAGGAGGAGGAGGAAGGAATAATACGCAGGAGGAGGAGGAGGAGGAGGAGGAGGAGGAGGAGGAACAGCAGGAGGAACAGGAGGAAGAGGAGGAGGAGGAGGAAGAGGAGGATGAGAGGGAGGAGGCGCTCTTCCCCTCTCCAAGGTCCAAGTCGGTTCTTCGTCGACGTCGTCATCACGCTTCTTTTGCCGCTACCTCTTGTTTTTTCTCCTCCCCTGGCGTTGGCCAGGGGGGGGGTCGAGGGCTTCGCTCCGGGAGGAGGGCACAGTCCGCACCATGAGGGCCATGAAGGAAGGGAAGGAGTACGCAGGAGGCAGGAGGAAAATGGAGGAGGGGCAGGAGGAGGCAGGAGAGGGAGGAAGAGGAGGAGGAGGAGGAGGAGGAGGAGGAGGAGGAGGAGGGAGGAGGAGGAGGAGGAGGAGGAGGAGGAGGAGGAGGAGGAGGATGAGGAAGGAATAATACGCAGGAGCAGGAGGAGGAGGAGGAGGGACGAGGCGGAGGAGGAAACATGAGAGAAGGAGGAGGAGGAGGAGGAGGAGGATGAGAGGGAGGAGGCGCTCTTCCCCTCTCCAAGGTCCAAGTCGGTTCTTCGTCGACGTCGTCATCACGCTTCTTTTGCCGTTACCTCTTGTTTTTTCTCCTCCCCTGGCGTTGGCCAGGGGGGGGGTCGAGGGCTTCGCTCCGGGAGGAGGGCACAGTCCGCACCATGAGGGCCATGAAGGAAGGGAAGGAGTACGCAGGAGGCAGGAGGAAAATGGAGGAGGGGCAGGAGGAGGCAGGAGAGGGAGGAAGAGGAGGAGGAGGAGGAGGAGGAGGAGGAGGAGGAGGAGGAGGAGGAGGAGGAGGAGGAGGAGGAGGAGGAGGAGGAGGATGAGGAGGAGGAGGAAGAGGAAAAGAGGGGCACGATGAGGTCAGAGGCAGGGATAGGAAGGAGGAAAAAAGGAGGAGGTGCAGGAGGCGTAGGAGGCAGGACGGCAGGAGGAGGAGGAGAGGGCGGATGCGGAGGCGGAGTCGGAGGAGGAGGAGGAGGAGGCGGAGGAGGAGGAGGAGGAGGAGTAGGAGGAGGAGGCGGGGGAGGAGGAGGGGATGGAGGAGGAGGAGGAGGAAGGAGGAGGAGGAGGAGGAGGGGAGGAGGAGGGAGGAGGAGGAGGAGGAGGAGGAGCAGGCGGAGGAGGAGGAGGAGGAGGAGGAGGTAGGAGGATGGAGGAGGAGGAGGAGGAGGCAGGAGGCAGCAGGAACATGGAGGAGGAGGGGCAGGAGGAGGACTCTTGGTGGTTCCAAGGTCGCCTGCTGGGCGGTCCTCTGCCCACTCGGGCTGGCCGCGCGCGCGCGTGCCGCTTCCCACCCGCCGGAGAGGTCCGTGGTTTCGACGTGCTCGCATACTTCTGGGACGAGCGGGACGGCGTGCAGATGTCGGGCCCGTCGTGGGGGGGTCAAGGGGAGGGAGGATGGGGCTGGAGGAGGAGGACGAAGAGGAGGACGATGGGGATGGGAGGAGGAGGAGGAGGAGGAGGAGGAGGAGAAGAAGAGGCGGAGGAGGAGGAGGGAGGAGGACGGGGAGGAGGAGGACGAGCAGGAGGAGGAGGACCAGTGTAAACCCAAGGGTCATCAACGATGTTGGAATAAACCCTCGCATCAAGCTCACTCTTCATAGGCCTCTCAACGGTTCATTTCCAATGAGGGAACTGCCTCGTTGGAAGACAGCCGTTTGAAGATCTTGAAGTTTGCCAAAACATTGTTCTCGGGATTACAGCGCCTCGGATCAAGCTGGCTGTTGCGTCTTGACAATCCTGAATCGTGCCAGAACACCGTCCCTGGGACTTCAACATCGCGAATGGACATGTGACATACGTAAGTGTTGCATTTGCATAATCCGGAATATTTCCAAAACACCATGTCTGGTACGATCAGGGGAATCCGTGACACTCTTGCAACTTGAAAACGAATGCGCGCGGCGCTAAGGCGAGAGCCACATTTTGAAAACGACCCGCCCTCAATCCGTGAATTTCTTGCAATGTTGAAAAACGAATGTGCGCGGCGCAAAGGCGAGAGTTACATTTTGAAAACGACCCGCCCTCCATCTGTGAAGCTGTCGTCATTTTTCAAGCTTCAGGGTCATACATGGTGAGGAAGTCTCAAGCGAAACGCCCGGCCTGCCCTAAAAACTGTTCTCGGGGTGCGACAGGGATAAGTTGTTATTTATAAGGAAGGGGAGTGGATGAGGAGGAGGAAGAGGAGGACGAGGAGGAGGAGGGAAGAGGAGGAGGAGGAGGAGCAGGAGCAGGAGGAGGAGGAGGAGGAGGAGGAGGAGGAGGCGACTCGTCGAACTCCCCGCATTGATGGGGAGGCTGCGCTCGTGCGCCGTTGCGGGAGCCGCCTAGTGGCCGGCGGCGCGTCGCGGTGATCGTGTTCTCGTCGTGGTAAAGGGTCCGCGGAGGGTAGTGGGGCGACACGGCGATAGAACGGCGCGCGGCCTGGCATGAGGAGGGAGTGGAGGAGGGGGAGGGGGAGGGGGAGGAGGGGGGAGGAGGGGATGGGGGCGGAGGAGGAGGAGGGGAGGAGAGGAGGAGGGGAAGAAGAGGAACCTCCTCCGCCTCAACTCCAAATCAGTCGGCATGTCACCATCCTCCTCCTTCTACCCCTCCTCATCCTCCTCCTCTTCTTATTCCTCCTCCTCCTTCTGCCCCTCCTCCTCCTCCTCCTCCTCCTCCTCCTCCTCTTCCTCACTGAACTGACGCTGGGCACTGAACTGAACTGGCGCTGGTCTTGAACACCCCCTCTTTGTCCTCAGCCTGTTTCTCCCCTCCGGTCATCGTTCGTTCTCGTTCTCCTTCTTGAAGGCATATGCGTGGGCTTCTTGGGGGGTTCCTTGAGCCTCTTGAGGTTTTTTTTGAGGCCCTCTCGAGGGCCTCTTGGGGGCCCGTCGGGTGCCCGCCGGGAGTCTCGGGTCCGTTTTGTGCGCGGGCGCTCCACAGGTTTCACCCTAGGAGGCTGGGGCGAACCATCGTGGCGCTATCTGAGGAAGTATTGGGGCGGGCTCTTTCAGGGTGCTATCGTGCATTATTGGGGTTGCGTTGGAGGGCTCTCGGGGTTGCTTTGGTCCCTGACGGGCATTATCTGGAGTCTTCCATTGCGATCTGAACCTGAAAAGCCTCCGAGGCACAACGTTGACTTTTCTTGGAGTTTTTTGTCGAACATCTTCGCGCGTCTTTGGGATGTTTCTTGGAGCCCCTCTTGCTCGAAAAAGATTTTAGAGTCTTTGGAGGTTCGTTCGGCCATCTTTGGGTTGGCTTGGGAACCTTGCGGCCTTGTCGAAGCGCTGTTTGGCTTTCATAGAAAAGTGTGGAGGCCGAAACGGGAGCCAGAAATCAATACCAGAAACGACGAAGGATGTTCTGAGCACGGCTGGGGCGGAGGGGGGGGGGGCGGCCCTGTAAGCGCTACAGGACCCCCGACAAACAACAAAGGAACACCCGAACACAAGCAACAATAACACTCGAACACGCCCCAGACCGCTGCAGGCTTGGTGGCAGGCTCATTGCAGGAGAGAGAGGAAAGACCCTGCCGCCAACCTCCACCCACCGGAAGCCGTGGCGCTCTCCGTCCTTCATCTCCATGCTCACGGACAACTGCTGTTTCTCATCGAGCAGCCGTGGGCAAAGGCAATAGGTCGGCGTCACCTCAACATACTAATATTGTGTGTGCGTCGCCTCCCAAAGGGCGACGCGCTCACCGAGAAATCTCATAATATATGCGTCGTGGCGGGATCTTTCTGGCCACACCGCACGGGGAACCGTGTATGATATATGCAGAGGATACATACTTTTTGCAAACTGTATTCACGTATTCGTGTAGATGCGTAGAGATTACAATATGTGTGCACGTGTGTATGTATGTGTGTATGTATGTATATATGTATGTATGCATGTATGCATGTATGCATGCATGCATGCATGCATGCATGCATGTATGCCTGCCTGTCTGTCTGTCTGTTTGTCTGTCTGTCTGTCTGTATGTATGTATGTGTGTATGTACATATGTATACATGTATGCATGTATGTATGGATGTATGGCTGTCTGTCTGTCTGTATGTATGTACTGTACTGAACTGTAATGTAATGTAATGTAATGCAATGTAATGTAATGTAGTGTAATGTAGTGTAATGTAATTTAATGTAATGTAATGCCTGTCTGTATGTATGTACGTATGTATGTATGTATGTATATGTATGTATGTGTACATATATGTATGTATATGTATATGCATATGTATATGTATCTGCATATGTATATGTATATGTATGTATATGTATGTGCATTTGTATATGTGTATGCATGTGTATTTTTATACGTATATGTATATGTATATGCATATGTATGTGTTTATGTATGTGCATATGTATATGTATATGTATATGTATATGTATATGTATATGTATATGTATATGTATGTGTATGTGTATATGTATATGTATATGTATGTGTTTATGTATATGTACATGTATATGTATATGTACATGCATCAGTACATGTACATGTATATGTATATGTATACGTATAAGTATACGTATTTGTATATGTATATGTATGTATACACACATATATATATATATATATATATATTCGGGCCGGGCGCGCTCCTCCAAGGCGCGCCCCCACTAAGTGTGAGGCCGCGGAGTGGCTTCCTCCCTGCACGACCCGCACCGCCCGAGGCGCGCCTTCTGCTCTGACCAGGGGGGCGGCGGAGAGGCCGTCGTCTGCCGTGTTTTTTCTTGCATCCTCCTCCTCCTGCTCCTGCTCCTGCTCCTCCTCCTCCTCCTCCTCCTCTCCTCCTCCTCCTCCTCCTCCTCCTCCTCCCCCTCCTCCCCTCCTCCCCTCCTCATAGCTTGGGCACTCGAGCTTCGACGGGCGTCGACAGAGGCAGTCCTGGCATGCGTTGCCCGCTTTCCTCTCTGCCTGTCCAGTCCTGTCGTGCCCGCACCGCTTGCACTGGGACCTGGCTATGACGAATGCCGGTGCCCGGGCATGCGTTTATCCTATCCCTCCCTTGCGCGGGCGGGTGGGCCGGTAGCGCATGGCAGGGCCAATGTTCTCCTCCTACTCCCTTTCCCCGTCCTTTCTTCCCACTCCTCCTCCTCCTCCTCCTCCTCCTCCTCCTCCTCCTCCTGATTGGTACCTGTGCCACTGGGTGCCCTTCCCAGGAAAACAGGCGGGTTGCAGCCCGATTGTCACCCCTCTTCGCCCGTAGGGGCCAGGGGGGAGAGAAAATTGCGCCTCGTCGCCTGTTGCTGGATTCACACCCATCCTTCCCACGGTCAGGGTCCCCCGCCCTGGCGTGCGTGGGGGTGTGCAGGTCGCCCGTGGGAGTGGCGCCCCTCGGATGGCTTATCGGGGCGGCACGCAGTGGAACGTGTGAGGGCAGTGCGCCCGCCGCGTCGCGCCAAGGTGCGTGCAGCGCGCGGCGCGCCAAGGTGCGTGCCGCTGGTTTTCCGCTCGTGGCATTTTGGCCTGGACGGAGCGAACACTTGAATGATGGAGGGACTCATGGGGGTGATAGTGCTCCTCCAGCTTTTCAGGCATGCCCCACGGGTGGGCCTCTTGGCCTCGGTATTCATCGTGTTCAGGCGGTGTCGTGGTTGAGTCACTCTTGTGGTGGCGGTATTCCTAATCATTTTCCTCATCATTATCACCACCACCACCATCATCCTCAGCATCATCATCAGCATCAGCATCAGCATCAATCTTCATCTGCAGCCGCATCATAACCATTATTTTCATCATCATCATCATCATCATCATCATCATCATCATCATCATCATCATCATCATCATCATCATCATCATCATCATCATCATCACCACCACCGCCATCATCATCAACATCACCAGCATCATCATCTGTATCATCATCACCATCATCGTCATCATCTCTGCCCTCCTCCTCGTGTTCCTTTATCCTCCATCTCCTTCACCTTTTCCTCCTCGTCCTCCTCCTCCTCGTCCTTCTCAGCCCAGAGTTCCTGGCCAACCCGTTCAGGCTGGTGGTTCGGACCAGCCGTGGGGGCGGACAACGTCTGGGCCTACAACGCGGACCGCAAGGGCCTCAAGCCGCCGCAGGCCGGCTGGCAGGACCGCGGATTTTCTGGAGGTCGCCGCAAAGCAAGCCCACACCTCCGACGATCCCATCCTGTTCCATCGCGGCGTTCTTCCTTGCTTTCGCCCTTTGGGGGGCCGCTTGTGGGCCCTGGGGCCGTCAGGCGTGGATCCAGGACGCGAAGACGCTCCCGGGGAAATGGGTCGGGAGCTGCTGGGGTCACGGATGGAACAAGTCGTATCGGAGGACGTCTGGGAACGGGTTCTCCGGGGAACGGGTCAGAGTTTTGCTCGCCGTATTCGGAGGCCCTCGCGGACCCCCCGGGACTGTCAGAAAGCAGATCAGGACGATGAGCTGCTCTGGGGGAGAGGCCCCAGGGTCTCAGACCCGTTTCCCTTGGGACCCGCTTCCCTCGTGCTGGGGAGGGTGCGGGGAAGAATATTTAACCAGGGGATCGACTACAGAAGTGATTTATATTCCCCAATCAGAGCTTGCCTCTGTAAGGGTCCTGGCGGATTCATATAGTTAGGTTAGGTTTGTCGCCGATTTTCGCTGCACGCCCGGGTGCCCGGGTGCCCTGGGGTGCCCGGGACCCCGGGGGTGCCTGGGGGTGCCCGGGTGCCCGGGCGTGCCCGGGGGTGCCCAGGGGGGCCCGGAGTGCCCGGAGTGCCCAGAGTGCCCAGAGTGCCCTATAGCCCTATAGCCCTATAGACTTATAACCCAATAGCCCTATAGCCCTACAACTCTATAGCCCTGTAGCTCTATAGCCCTATAGCTCAATAGCCCTGTAGCCCTATAGCCTCCTAGCCCTATAGCCCTGATTGCGTTTTTTTTCTCCGGTATCATTTTACCAGGGGATCGACTACAGAAGTGATTTACTACACGATTGATTTCTCCACCGAATTATATATATATATATATATATATATATATATATATATAGAATATTCCATTCTACGTGTCGAAGACGCCTACGCGAATCACCGCCGCCCCCTGCCTTTTTCAAAAGCGCGTCTGTGGCCAAACGTTGGGGCCCAGAGCTTGGATAAGTGACACATGTAGTACGCGCGCTCTTTGGGACGTGCTTCGCACGCACTCATTGGGACACGTGCGTACTGCTAACTTGGAGCCCACGCGCTTCATGGCCGTCCTGGAGAGGATTTTGGGCGAACTTGGAGTTGGAAGCCTTCTTGTGGCCGTCTTGGAGGCTTCAAGGCCTCCAAGATGGCCCCAAGACGGCTCCAGAGGCCCCCAAGACGGCCCCAAGGCGGCCCAAGAGGCTACATGGCCGCCAAGACGGCCCTGAAGCGCCCCAAGAGGGCTCCAAGTCGGTTCAGATATGCATTCAAGACGGCTTCCGACGGCGTCAGACGGGCCAGGAACGCCGAAGACGGCCAACGCGGCCCCGAAAAAAAAACAGAGACTCCCAAGAGGCCCAATGAGGACTAGCCAAACTATCGGACTATGTATTCCCCCGGCCGCTCTGGAAGCTCTTCGCGGGGACACTTGGAGGAGTGATGAGGGGGAGCATCAGGAGAGGGAGGAGGAGGAGGAGGAGGAGGAGGAGGAGGAGGAGGAGGAGGAGGAGGAGGAGGAGGATCAGGATGCAGGAGGGAGGAGGAGGAGGAGAGGAGGACGAGGAGGAGCCGGAGGGCCGGAGGAGGAGAGAGGAGGTGGAGGTAGGAGGAGGAGGAGAGGAAAGGAGGATGAGGAGGAGGGAGTAGGGAGCCTGAAGGAGGGAAATCGTGATGTTTGCCTCTTGAAGCCTTCTTGCGACCCTTTGGAGCCTCTTGGTCGGTCGGGCGAAAGGGGGGGATTGGGAAAGGGGGGGTTACGAATTTGCTGCATGCAGCTGGTTTCGGCCCCACCGAGGGGCCCATTCCTCGATACATAGCCGCCTCCGGCGCTGGGAGGCGCCGGGAAAATCAGCTACGTGAGCTGATTCTCAAACCCCCCCTTTGCTATCCCCCCCTTTCGCCCGACCCGATCTTGGGCCGCCTTGAAAGCTTCTCGGGGGCCTCTTGGGCCATCTTGGGCCAGAACCATCTGTGCTCTCGACGCCACCTCTGGCCTCCGCGACTGCGTCCGACGCCTCGGGCCCTGGGGGGGCCGCGAGCAGGGGGGGGGGTCCCGAACGTCCTGCCTCGGGAATCTGGCTGCGGACTCGACCATCCTGGCGAATCGCGTGGAGCCACCCCCTGCAGGCCTCGCGCTCCTGCCAGCACGAGCATTCGTGATGGGACGGAGGGTCGAGCCTTCCGCCGAGAGGAGCAATCCTGGCGAGCTCGCGTGGCGGTAGCTGCCGCTGGGAGCTCATTGAACGCCGCCGGCTCGCAGCTCAGAAGGCCCCGTCGCGGACGGCCGTCGGGGGGCCCGCTCGCCGCCCGCTCCGACCCCCCGTCACGGTAACTCGTCCCCCTGGCGCCCTGCCCTGCGGGGGACCGTGGTTTTTGGTGGAAGAGGGGGCATTTACACAAGCGCTCTCTTCACTCGCCCTTCGAACCTAGATCCCCGGGGGCCAGTCGCAAAGGACTCCTGGGCGAGGTCCTCGCTAGGGATACAAGGGGAGAAGAGAAGGCTCGAGGCGGCAGAGGGAGGAGAAGGAGAAGGTCACCTCACCTCCGGGAAGCCCGAGGCGGAAGAGGCGAGGAAGCGGATAGTGGAGGTCGGCGAGGCCCCGACGGCTGGCGAGGTCCCCACCAGTGACGGCGCCCGCCGCAGCCCTGGGCCGCTGCCAGGGGCGCCTCCCGACCCCTCTGTCTACCTCGCCTTCGAGGCCAGGGGCGCAGTGGCCTGTTTAGCATCCGCAGTCCCCGACACCCGGCTCTTCGGGGTTTCCAGGCTCCTTGTTCTCCCCCTCTCCCTTTTGCTCGCCTTGTGCAGGCGCGCGGCCGCTCGGTGAGGCTCGGGGGCGCGAGTGCGAGCGAGTCGCCAGAGCGCCTGCGCTGCATCGCTGTAAATACGTTCTCTTGGCATCGCTCGGACGTGTGCATTTTTCCTTCGGCGAGGACCATCGAGGAGCATCCTTGACCATTTCGCGAAAAAACCACGCACGAAACCGAAAAAAGCACAGGAAATGGACGTCCGAGCGATGGCCAGTTCTGCTCTGTCGGGCATTCGCATGCCCTCCGTTGGCACACCCGGCCACGGAGCGGCGCCCCCGCAGAGGGCGTTGATCGGAGCTCTGCCGAACAGACCCTTCTCGACGCGGCCTCCGCGCGGAGCGCGGCGGCTCGAGCTCGCCGCCGGCGCGGGTGCTCTGGCGCCGCCGCCCTGGGGCCGAGGTCGAGTCGGCCGCCCGCAGCCTCAGCGACCTCCCCCCCTTCGCGGGCAGTGAACCTCCTCCTCCCCCTCCTCCTCCCCTCCTCCTCCTCCTCCTCCTCTCCCGCCTGTCTCCTCCTCCCTCCTCCCTCTCCTCCTCCCTACCTCCCTCCTACTCTCCTCCTCCTCCTCCTCCTCCTCCTCCTCCTCCTCCTCCTCCTCCTCCTCCTCCCCCTCCCCCCCTCCTCCTCCTCCTCCTCCTCCTCCGCATCTCCCTGCATCCTCCTCCTCCTCCTCCTCCTCCTCCTCCTCCTCCTCCTCCTCCTCCTCCGTAGCCATTTTGGCTCAAGATGTCCTGGTGCGCGGCGGCGTCCAAATGGATACCGCTGTGCCGCGGCCAGGAGTGGGGACTTCTTTGCAGCCACAACCAGGGCGAGCTGCCGCCACAACCCGGTCCGCGAAGACCCACAGTTTTGCGCCCACGAGGGCTCTCTCCAGCAGTGCATGGCGGCCGATGAGGAGCGGCGCAGGACTGGTCGTGCTGGCGGCGGCCATCGTGGCCCTGGTGCTGCTGACGGTCGGAGGCGCGGCGACAAGGGCAAGGAGCAGCCACCAGCTGAGGACCTGCGCTCGGCCTCCCGCAGCACGAACGAGCGTGCCCCTGCGCGCCGACGGGCTCGGCGGGGCCACCTGCGCTCTGACGGCGAGGCGGATGCCTCGGGATCGCAGGCCAGTGATCGTGAGCGCCCTGGACTCGGAGGTCTCGATCGCGCCGCCCAGGACGAGCTCGTGGCCGCCATTGAGGCGGCGGCCACCGTCCCCACGCAGGAGCGCCAGGACATGCAAGTGGAACAAGCGCCCGCTGGACCCCAACAAGCTGGACCTCAACATGCTCCTCCTGACCCGTGGCAACGCCCTGGCGGGGACCCGTGGCATGATCGCGCCGCCCCCGCTGCTGGACACACTGAACTACCTGCTGCTGGCACTCCTGTCGGTGGGATGGCCACCCCTGTGGACGCTGGCGGCATTGACATGCAGGCCATGCTGCAGAGCTGCATTCGCCAGGCCACCGATGCTATCGCCGCGACCTCCATGGCCCAGGTCACCTCCTGCCAGACGCAGCTGGTGCGCATGTTCCAGACGCAGCAGGAGGCAGTCAACAGGTCCCTCGCCGTGCAGACTCGCGACATCGCCTCCATCGGCCAGCGCGCTGACGCGTTGGAGGCGGAGCAGGCCGCCATGCGCAAGCAGATCGGGGACATCAACAAGGCCCTGGCCCTCGCCGAGAAGGAGCTACCCATCATGGACTTCCAGGAGCTGGAGGCGCGGTCTCGTCAACCCAACCCGCGGATCTTCTCGATCGGAGCGCCGCAGTTGGTTGGACCCGCCCAAGCTCTTCAAGGATTGGAGGAGTGGATTCGAGCGGCTGGCCTCACTCACGACATGGTCCGCATCGACCCTGCGGTCCCTGCCAAGCGCTTCAACGTCATGGTGCAGGGCGGCGACGGAGTCGCTCTCCCTCGGGCTCAGGCACTCGCTCGGCATCTACGTGACCCAGCTGGCAGGAACGGGTGGCGCTCCTTCAGCGCGCAGAGCGTCGGCGGAGGCGTCGTCCCACTGTACCTCTCGCCTGACAAGTCACCGCGGCAAGTACGAATGGAGATCCAATCGAGGAAGCTCTCGGTCTTGCTGGCAGAAGCTCTTCCTGATCAGTCTTTCAGTGCACAGCGGGCCCGTGGTCTCATCACCTCCCAGGGCGTCAAGGTTGCCAAGCTCGAGATGGGTGAATCCCGCAACACCGACACCATCATCAGGTGGAACCCAGACATGGTCGCCAGGCTGCACATCGACAGGGAGTCCATCAACACGCAGTTCAAGAAGGCCTTCTCCACGGAG